TTTAAAATACATTGTTAGTTCTATCATTTTGATGTTATTCATCAATTAGTTATGCATTCAATCAAACTGTATGTATTTATCTGTATTTTCAACCTAACTGTATCCATTTGTATTTAAAACAACAATACAGTGAAATACAGTAAAATATTCTCATACAAGTACGAAATCAATGAATACAACCAATGAAATATACTCAATAAAGCAGTAATACCATGTTGTAGGAATAAATAAAATATTGTGAATACAAAAATAAACTTGAATACATTGGACGCAACTGTTAGATACAACAGAATACAAGCACCTGATTTATTATGAAACATGCAGGCAGTAGGTTACTATTACAGGTTGTATCTGGCATAAATACATGATGTATTCATATACAAAAAAATCGAATTTCAAAATATTTCTGTAGATACTTGTCTCAATTCCGAGCAGAACCTCAAACAATGTCAGGAAAAAAACTCAAATTGTATCAGAAAAAAAAAGAGGGACTGAAACTCTGAAGAATACTCTATTTTTTTGTGTTTAGCGTCTGATAAACCTTCTCATTAATTGGATTGATAATATTGCGTGTTATAATTGATTTAGGTGAGTTATATAAGAGTTATCCCATTAAATTAGCAGATTAAACAATTGGAGAGACCTATCATAACGTTAATTGCAGTTACTCTATTCATGAATACATGTGAATACAACGGCTGACAGCTGGATTGCCCTGTTTTTTAGCCGATTTTCTCTATTGTATTCATGAATACAGTAGCTCGTATACAATCGAACACATTATCATAACAACTAAAAGGTATCTAAGGAAAGTAATTATGTACATGATAGATATAAGAAGTTAATAACCACTAAACAATAGTCATTTCTGAAAATTGCTCAAATAAGAATTGCACTATTTTCCCCTCTTCACTTTCTCATCAGTCAGATGATCCAAACAGACTATCAAAGGATGCGGTGCAGCTGATGAGACTGCTCTTTCCTTAACCAAATGTTTCGGGTTTGAGCCCTAAGCATGGAAAAATTCTTGATGGGGAACGCTTCCCACGGAATAGGACCCTACGCGGCACGAATCCGTTATACTCGGACTCCAATGCGGATACCGAACACCGTGATGTATTGATTAATTCCTTAATATCAACCCTTTACAGTGGTTATCTGTATCACTTCTACAATGATTTTCAATTTTTCATATTCAGTGTCAAACTCACGATTTCTTCTTATACAATCATAGATCATAATTAGTTATTATGGTAACTAAAGACCACTATATTATAGTATCAATTTTCAAACTATAGTCTGACACAGATTTCCTTTACAATTTATTTATTACCAACTCCTTTTTTTGTTTAATATTTGCATTTACCAACTCATTATAATCCTCAAGCTCTTAAAATGGAAAAACTCTGTAATAATCCGAAATCCAAATCAGTGTTTTAAAAGACGTGTGCATAAAGCGAGACGAGGCGTTTTATATATGCCTCGGTGAAGCATAAGCCCCGACGCACGGGGACGCCCCATATAATTTTAATATTTTATAAAATAATATAATTACAATAAATATTTATAAACTGGTAAAAATTGCATAAAAATTAAACAAAACTATAAATATGTGAAATATATATATATATATATATCCTCACAAAAAACTAGTTAAAACAATCTATTATACGCTACTTAGAAGCACAAGCATTGAGGAACAAAAAGGATGACTAACCTGTAACTTGAACTTTGAATTTTGTTGCTATGAAGGGGGATGGAGTTCTCTTTGTATTTGTAAAAAAATTGAAATTTCGTTTCTTTTGGGAGATATTAGCAGACTAGCGGACAATATAAAAAATTAGGAAAGATCATGAATTAGGGTTTCAATCAATAAAAAGGTCTTGCCTTTTAAATTTAATACATTTCAATTCCTTTTTAAAACTTTGGAATAATTACCAAGCTAAATTTTGAGAATTTGAGTATTATATGAAGTACTTATTCAACAAATTTTGTTTTAATTTGAAAAAGTCTCTGGAGCTTATGCCTCACTGAAAAAACGCGCCTCAAACGCTTGAACGTACGCACAGAATTGCTTGACGTACGCCTCTTGAGACTTTCGCCCCACACCATCGCCTCATAGCGTTTTTGGTGCGCCTCGCCCCAGGGCTCGCCCCGAAAACACCTTTTAAAATACTGATCCAAACTATAATCCAACATCTTTCTTTCAATTTCACAGTTCAACTACTTGTCCCATATTTCATAACTAAAACTGTAAAATGAGCCAAGAAATACAGTAAAAATGTTAATACGTGAATGAGAAGGCGTTTTGCAACCAACTCAACTACAACTTCAGTAGTAAGCAGCAAATGAGCAGCAGTTTTTGAACTCAAGAGCTTTGATTGTGTGAAATGCAAATCGAATATCATGTGGAGCTTTAAGAATTGCTTTGAAGACGAGTCTTGATCCACGATTCCAAGTTCTTCAACTCCTCGTTGTTTATCGAATGAGCGAGACCAGGGTAAGCCTAACGAATATGGTAGACAATGGCTTATTGGCGATACGTTCGTGAAAGATAAACAAAACGATCAAGAAACATGAGTAATTACCTTGAATTCGCAAGTCATACCAGCTCGCTCCAGAAAAGGTGGCCCTGCTTGTCCAGCTTCAAACAGTACAGTCCTATCAGCGATACCATGAGACCACAAAATAGGCGTCTGCTCAAAGCGTTTTGGTGTTAGATGCTATAAAAACATGGAAACTAATCAAGAAATACATATCAAATGGTAAGAATGCAGTTGTGATGTGTGGGTTAGGTGCGTGTCACGAGTTTGAACCCTCTGGTAATTGTCGAGGGGCAAACCAATTGTCCACCGAGTTTCGAACTGTGCACCAGCAGGCCCTCGAGAATTTCTCGATTAATTTTAAAAAAAG